TCTTTTTACACTTCACCGCACTGTGGTGCTGTGTATTATGTCTTTGAAATTGGAAAAAATCGGTTCAGATTTAGATATAGCTCCCATATATATTTTCGTCCGATTTTATGTAAATGGTGTACCAAAGTCCCTATATATCTTTCGATTCGCGCGATATTTGGCACTTCGAACTGAATTAAGTCTAGAATGATGTGTGCTAATTTTTGTAAAAATCGGTTCAGATTTAGATATAGCTCCCATATATATTTTCGTCCGATTTTATGTAAATGGTGTACCAACGTCCCTATATATGTTTCGATTTGCACAAAATTTGGCACAGCGTACTGAATTAAGGCTAGAATGATGGGTGTTAGATTTCCAGGAAATTGGCTCAGATATAGATATAGCTCCCATATATATCTTCGTCCAATTTTATGTATGTAATGCGCCATTGTCCCTACATATCTTTCAATTCAGACGAAATTTGGCATAGCGTAATGACTTAAGTCTAGAATGATGTGTGTTAATTTTTGTAAAAATTGGTTCAGATTTAGATATAGCTCCCATATATATGTTCGTCCGATTTCATGTAAATGGTATAGCAAAGTACCTATATACCTTTCGATTTGCACGAATTATGTCTACAATGATGTGTGTTATGTTTCCGAAAATCAGTTCAGATTTAGATATAGCTCCCATATATATTTTCGTCCGATTTTTTGTCCAATAGTTCCCAGACAACTTTAAATCTCCCCCAATGAAATGAAATTTAGCATAGGTTGCAGAAAGGCATGTATAGTTCGTTACCTCAAAGGAACATTGACATGAAATTGTGCGGATACATATGTAGAATATACCCAATGTGGTAAAGGGTACCATATATTTGGCCCAGTCCGACTTTACTACTTTCCTTTCTGGTTTAGTTTAACTCCGATAGACATCAAAATAAAATCAGCAACATTGAATATTTTGATTGCTTCGATTCAGCAAGCGAAGATTTCCGACTCCTACAGCTTGCAATGTGTTGTGAAAAATCACCCTAGAAATAGAGGTACGGGACTTGCGTTCTCGTTACACTATTTTGTACAGTACCGCATTATCTCGGCTGTGGCGTAATGACCAATACATGGAATTTATGGGGGAAGCAATCAAGTTTGGAATTGCGATAGCGATGCCCTTAAAGTGTATATCGCGTCGTATAGTTCTACCCAGCGTTACTTAACCGACATTTTTGGAAGACAATAACTAGCACCAGTATGACAAATCTCTCACTATAATTAAAGGAGATTGCCACCATTCGCAGAAAATCATTATTGTGTCACAGGGTCTGATAAATAACGCAATCTGTCAACCTATCATTTCTCCCTCTGCAGACCTATCATGATCTACCCATCATGATCTATGTAAATAGATCAACCATAAAAATATACCATCCGAACTTTCCTGAACCATGTTAAAGCTGATTGACAAGGTTTTAGAGATTTTACCAATCACCGCTTCAGAGAGTTACCCACTCCCCAGATACTGAGAGGAACTTTCAAGACATTATCACTGTTTCAGCCACTCGCCTTCCTGGTCGAATACTCGAAGTAAGGCCGAACTTCCGAGCAGAGGTGACGGTATTTGCGAATGAGCGTGATGAGCTTCGCCTGAAGGACTAACAGTGAATGTAACATTGGAGCCGTATCAAATAAATTGTAGGCACAGATTAAGTCAACGCCAAATTCCGGAAGTAAGGATGACAGAACTGTTGTGTGAGCTTTGTTTGACCGGTAGGGAAAGAGACACGCTGAAATACAGTGTGCTTTGTCGTATAAGTGTCCTCCGGGCCTTGGAGACACCAATATAATTTTCGAAAGATTATGTTGCAAATGTTATTCGGAATCCTAAGTCAAACAACGCGTTGGACCCGTATAGAATGCTTAAACAACTGGATGAACCTGATGTAGAGTATTTAACAAATTTCGTTAACCAAACAACATTGGTCCTGAAGCCTGGAAACTAGGCAGGGTATCACGCTATTGAAGCCAGGCAAGATAGCCAGCCGTGGAGATTCATTTGTCCCCAGTACAAAATACGATTGAGTAACTACTCATCCCTCTGATGTGAAATATGTTTCCATTTCTCCGGAAGATGCACATAACAACAGCAGCATAACACTCAAAAACCACACATATAAACAGAGCAGTCCGTGCAGACGTCCTACAAAACAATAGGTCGGTCAGTGGTAAGTTATGCGGCGCCGCTGTGGCGCCAAAGGTGTGTGATGCGCAGGTGAAGTATTAAAATCTCCTTATGACAGATGCTTGAACCACTATTACTCGCCATGATGAGAAGTAGTTTTCAGTTGCCCAATATCAGCATAGATTCCGGAAGAATCTATTCATCAAACGAATTGCATTATACGCCATACCTACACATTTAAACAAAGGACTTAAACAGAACAATCACGCATGTTCGTAGAGGAGACCAACCTCTAATCTAGTTTGAAACTGTGATTTATCAATTATATGTGTTATCGCCAAACCCCTCACGAAACGCGGTATGTTTTAACTGCCCGGCTGCCTCCAGCACCTTCTCAATTCGTATTGACAACACGACACAACAGACACATGTCCTTCATGGGCTTGGACCTTACAATAAACTGCATTTTTTCAACTGCTCAATTCGGAATCTCTTTGGACGTAGCCGAACGTTGGCGAAGTAGTCCGAATCGGACCGAAAGTACGGCAAATATATATATGGTTGCTAGAAGAAAAACTTATCTTGGATGATGTTCTCCATGAGTCTAGTCAATCACCAAACATTGATACAAGTTTTCACGGTAACCCCCATATACGCTATCCCTAATATTCGCACACGTTTTTCAACCGAATTGGCTGTAATTTGTATTCTGATTGGCTGCCAAATTTCAATAAACAAGCCCCATTAATTTTACATATTTTGAATGTCATAATCATGGTGAGGTGTACACAAAGTTCGGGCGTCCGAATTTAACTTTACTTTAACTTGTTTGGTTTTAAAAATGGGATATATCGGTCCACGTTGTGGTATAGCCCCATATAACGGTACCTCCTACAATTCGGACCTGGTAAGTTATTCTCGTGTTGAGCCGCAGGCTCCACTTCTGTTGGTGTCCGTCCGTCAATTCCTTTAAGTTTTAGCTTTGCAACCATACTCCCGGGAAGCGAATGAGAGAGCCAGAAATGTAGCTACACCCAATTGCTAACTGGCATCGTTTATGGTTAGAACATGGGCGGTATCTGATCGCCATCAAACCTCTAAATTTCGTTGTTGATTAATGAAAACATCTTTGGGAAATAAGTGTGTCTCACGACGGTCCAAGAATTTCATTTCTCGCGTCCTAATTCTATTGCCCCAAACTGTTTCTATTTATCATTACCTCTTGATCAAAAAATCAATGAAAGTAGAACAGAAGTCTTATTTCAGTATTTAATGCACAATATATTATAACGAGTGGTTTTATCCAGGGCTGAGGTAAGCTCAATCGTTGACAGGGTCAATTCAAGGACCCACAAACCTTAAGTAATAACACGAGTTGTATATGACTGTATCTTTTATTACAATACTCGGATGTTAAGACAATGGATAATGTGTGTAAATTCAGATGTTATAACATATGGTTATTTGTATATGGTTTACAGTAATTACTCTCGGCCGTTGGCCTTTGCAGCTTTGTAGTGGCGGGCGGAGCGCTGAACGAGGGAGCGAGTTGAGTGCTGGTGAGTTAGATGCTGGAGCGTGTTGAATACAGGAAAGGTTATATGTAGCAGCGGGCAGAGTGCAGGAGAAAGTTAGGTGCTGGAGCGTAAGAAATGCGGGAAGCTGGCTGCGAGCGTAAAGTTGGCTATTGAGCGTGAAGCTGGCTATAAGCCTGTAGCTGGCTACGAGCGTGGAGCTGGCTATGAGCTGGGAGCTAGCAAAGAGGGGGGAGCTGCCAAAGAGCTGGGAGCTGACAAAGAGCTTGAGCGGGCAAGGCGCAAGGCCGAAGACTTTTGATAACGATTGACGAGCTACTATGACTGCGGATCTGACACGCGTCAACTTCACTTTCACTGTTCGCTAACTCTGGTTCTCGACAACTTCATTGATGAAAAGTGGAACACTTATCCATATGACTTTATTAAGTGAATGAGAATTATTCACTCACTCTTCAGTGCAAAATGCTCTGAAGTTAAAATGGGGGAATGAGTAAACATATTGCTGATCGCACAAGTCATGTGTTGTTGTAATAGAGGTAAAATGGTGTTATAGATATTAGGGTGGTATTACCAGTATTTTATGAAAAAAATGTATGGATATTAGGGTAAGAAGTATAAGTCCGTCAATTCCTTTAAGTTTTAGCTTTGCAACCATACTCCCGGGATGCGAATGAGAGAGCCATAAAAGTAGCTACACCCAATTGCTAACTGGCATCGTTTAAGGTTAGAACTTGGGCGGTATCTGATCGCCATCGAACCTCTAACTTTCGTTGTTGATTAATGAAAACATCTTTGGGAAATACCTTCCCTTAAGTTTATCTCACGACCGTCCAAGAATTTCACTTTTAGCGTTGTAATACTATTGCCCAAAACTGTTTCTATTAATCATTACCTCCAGATCAAGAAATCAATGAAAGTAGAACAGAGGTCTTATTTCAGTATTTAATGCACAATATATTCAGGCATTTTCATCCTTACTTAAGCATAGCCCCCCATTTCAATTTTGGTATATTGGGGAGACACGATTTGTAAACTTGAGAAATTATGATGGCCTTATTTTAACCGAATAGTCTCTAAATTGGTTCCTACTGACTGTTAAATCTTCGCACCACACCACACATTTACGATGGCATAACCCGCCATATTTAAAAGTCCAGGATCATATAAAAAGGACGTTTTTACATATTATCAATTTATTGTCTGTAAATAAAATTAGTATATAACAAAAAAAAACCACACATTTTCAGCTTGATATTTTCAATTTATTTAATTGGAATACACATTATTTAATTGTACCCCTTAGTTGGTTTTGGCATTTGGATTGTGAGTATAAAGACATCTACCAAATACACCACATGCTGGCTCTACGGGCCTAGAGCAAATGAAATATAGAGAATCTGTGCAGGCGCCAGTAACCCACAAGAAATTGCCATTAGTACGAACGCATTGATTGGCTAGAGTGCTTGGACTTTGTGCCCACTTTTCGTAAGAGATCCTTTTGCCCGACGTTAGCCAAACATAATTAGAACGATCTGGCAGATTGGTACCCGATAACCAGAATTGAGTACCCCATTGTTCTTTTGATTATTGAAAATTAATAAAAATGAATATTATTACTGTTAATTTTGTTTTTAAAATTTGTACTTACTATTGTTAAACAAATATTGCCTTAGACTTTCATATTCCTCATTTGATTCGATAGATGCCAGAGACATGTCATACGCAGCACATGTTTGAACTGCACGATACCAATTGACCTAAAATAATAAATATGATATTTTGAAAATTTTTAAATGTTCTCATTTTCTATATTTTTTCAAACCCCCAATAGATATTGCTTCTTAATTTTTTTGTATATTTACCTTATTCGACACTCCCACATAGTACTCCTTATTGTTCAAAACTATTGTTTTGACATCATCGGCGGAACTTAGGGATGTTAAGGCACAAATAAAGCCAAACACTACCAAGAAACTATACAATGGAGACATTTTCTCTTAGATTTTTTCTATAACTGCTGCTATTTGTTCTGTAGAATACATACTTTTATACCACTTTTCTTCAAAATTTTTTTGTCTAACTGCTGAAAAAAAGAAATCCCCTTTTCAAAAATTTGTTATCAACTCTTGATAATGCAATTTGCATTTAAGCCTCATTCGTAATGTAAATGATTGATTGCTAATGGGGAATTTTTTACAACTACATTGTTGAAATTGTGAACCAAAGAATATGTAGCTGAAACCGACTAGCCACCTTATTTCCAATAATACTAAAAGCATTTTTTTAATATAATATTTAAGTTTAAATCTGAAATACATTCGGTGTTTTTGGAAAATAAATATTTGTATTAAAGTATAATTTAAAAGCACAGCCAACACTGAACACTAACTTTCTGGGTACCTATATTCCGAACCTGGGCGATATTGGATGAATACTCTTTTCCGTGTAACATTGTGATGTTCGGCCTGTACAAAATGTTCGACGGCTGTCATGCCCTAAATACCCTCCGATCATTACCAAAAATTATAGTCGTCGTCCTTGTCGATAACCGGAAATTCAGGAAAAATTTCAAAGCGATCAGCATTACATTTTCGACCTCTAGTGTGGTAATGGCAATACTAAACCAGTAAGGAAAGTAGTAAAGTCAGACTGGGCCGACTATATGATACCCTTCACCACTTTGGGTATATTCCACATATGTATCCGAAAACACGTCGCCTTTTTCAAGGAATTTTGACATGAAATTGAACGAACTTAAATATGTGATTTTTATGTCTTTCTGGAACCTATACTAAATTTCATTTCATTTGGGTAAGTTTAGAGTCGTTTGCGCACAGTGGGGCAAATTAGTGAAAATCGATTTAAAGCAAACTTGACACTCGATATTCGGTATGCTGCACTGTTTAAAATTTAATCTAATAAGACACCTATTGATTATTAACATAATAAGTCGAAATTATATATGGAAGCTACGATATATCTATATCTGAACCGATTTGAAGCAAACTTGCCAAAGATTAATTTCAGTACGTTGTGTCAATCGGCCTAGCTGTGGATCTTCAGTGCACAATTTACTTACAATATATATATATATATATATATATATATATATAGTAGGTGTACACATCATTCTAGGCTTAATTTAATACGCTATGCCGAAATTCGTGCAAATCAAATGATTTTCAGGGTCTTTGGTGCACCATTTACCTAAAATCGGGCGAAACTATATATGGGAGCTATTTGTAAGTCTAAACCGATTTTCACGAAACTTAGCACAGATCATTCTAGACCTAATTCAGTTGTCTATACCAAATTTCGTGCAAATCGAAAGATATGTAGGGACTTTGGTAGACCATTTACCTAAAATCGGGCGAAACTATATATGGGAGCTATATCTAAATCTGAACCGATTTTCACGAAACTTAACACATGTCATTCTAGACTTAGACTCAATACGCTATGCCAAAATTCGTGCAAATCGAATGATTTTCAGAGACTTTGGTGTACCATTTACCTAAAATCGGGCGAAACTATATATGGGAGCTATATCTAAATCTGAACCGATTTTCACGAAACATAGCACACATAATTCTAGACTTAATTCAGTACGATATGCCATATTGTGTGCAAATCGAGAGATATATATACATTAAATCGGACGAAAAAATATATGGGAGCTATATGTAAATTTGAACAGATTTTCACGAAACTTAACACACACTGTTTTAGACCTAATTCATTACGATATGCCAAATTTCGTGCAAATCGAAAGATATATAGGGACTTTGGTGGACCATTTACATTAAATCGGTCGAAAACATATATGGGAGCTATATTTAAATCTGAACCGTTTTTCAGGGAACTTAACACACATCATTCTAGAACTAATTCATTACGCTGTGCCAACTTTCGTGCAAATCGAGAGATATATAGGGACTTTGGTGCACCATTTACTTTAAATCGGACGAAAATATATGTGGGAGCTCTATCTAAATCTGAACCGATTTTTCCCAATTTCAATAGGGTTCGTCCTTGGGCCAAATAAATGGCCTATGACAAATTTCATCCAAATCGGATCATAATTGCGACCTGCACTTTGTTCACAAAAATACATGGGCGGACATGCGTAAAGAGACTCAGAAAGTGAATCTATGCATATGCTCAAGAACCCCAAAAATGGACCTATATTCATAATTTTTTGCGGAGAGATTTGGTAACTATTAAGAACTCAAAATACTAAATTACAGCTAATTCGGCGGAAAAATCAAAATCTCCAAAATACTGAAAATTAGAAGGTACCGTTATATGGGGGCTACCAGAAAAAGTGGACCTATATTTATAATTTTTTTGTGGAGACATTTAGTACCCAATAAGAACTCAGTATAGCAAATTTCAACGAATTCGGTTGAAAAACGCGCTCAAGAACCCCAAAATACCGGAAATTGGAGGGTACCCTTATATGGGAGCTATGCCTAAACGTCGACCGATGAAGCCCATCTTCGAACTTGACCTGCCTGCAGACAAAAGACTCTATGCAAAATTTTGGAGATCTATCTCAATTTGTTTAGACACTAGAGTGATTACAACAGACCGACGGACAGACGAACATGCTTAGATCGTCTTAGAATTTTACGCTGATCAAGAATATATATACTTTATAGGGTCGGAAATTAATATTTCGATGAGTTACAAACGGAATGACAAAATTAATATACCCTCCATACTATGGTGGAGGGTATAAAAAGGGGGTTATATGGGGACTACCCCAAAAGGGGGCGAATATTAATAATTTTTGGTAGAGAGATTTGTTACCATATACGACTATAAATTACCAAATTGCAGCAAATTCGGTTGAAAAATGCGCTCAAGAACCCCCAAATACCGAAAATTGGGGGTACCCTTATATGGGGGCTATCCGAAAAAATTGACCTATATTCATTATTTTTTGTGGAGAGATTTGGAACCTATTAAGAACCCAATGTACCAAATTTCAGCGTATTCGGTTGAAAAACGCGCTCAAGAACCCCAAAATACCGAAAATTGGGGGGTACCCTTATATGGGGGATATCCGAAAAAATTCACCTATATTTATAATTTTCTGTGGAAAGATTTGGTACCTATTAAGAACTCGAAATACTAAATTACAGCCAATTCGGTGGAAAAATACGATCAATACGATCAAAACCCCCAAAATACTGAAAATTAAGAGGTACCGTTATATGGGGGCTACCAGACAAAAGCCTGCCTGCAGACAAAAGACAACCCTATGCAAAATTTCAGCATCCTATCTCAATTCCTTCAGAAGATAGCGTGTTTACAACAGACGGACGGACATGGCTAGATCGTCTTAGAATTTTACCCTGATCAAGAATATATATAGTTTATAGGGCCGGAAATGAATATTTCGATGAGTTACAAACGGAATGACAAAATTAATATACCCTCCATACTATGGTAATTAATAATTTGATTAATTCAACATTTAAAAAAAAACAGCAAGGAAAGTAGTAAAGTCGGATGGGGCCGACTATATGATACCCTTCAACACTATGGATGAAATAAAATATGTGCTATTTATCTAAATGTGAAACGACCTACATCTATCCAGAAACATGTCATTCGTTCGTTACAATGGGACAAAAGTATCTAAATCGACTTCAAACAAATATCAATAGGTCATCCGTTGGGCTATGTCTGTACTTCAAGAAAACGCAATTACGTTCTTTTATGCTCAATTTTGTACGTTGTGCAAAATTTGATGTCAATCTCACTAACATGAGGAGTTTGATGCACAATGTACTTAAAATCGGGCGAAAAAATATATGAAAACTATATCCAAATATAGAAGCGATTTCAACGAAACTTGTCACAGGTAAGGTTATACTAATTTCAGTACGTTTTGTTTTGGTGCGTCAATTACTTAAAATCAATCTATAATAAAAGGGAGCTATATCTAAATCTCAACGAAAATATATATGGGAACTATATCTAAACCTTGACCGATTTTCAAGAAACTTGACCGACATCACTCTATGGCCAATTCGGTACGTTATGCCAAATTTCGTGCAAATCGAAGGATATATAGGGACTTTGGTGCACCATTTACATGAAATCGGGCGAAACTATATATGGGATCTATATCTAAGTCTGCACCGAATTTCTCGAAACTTGGCAGACATCACTCTAGGCTCAATTCAGTACGTTATGCCAAATTTCGTGCAAATCGAAAGATATATAGGGACTTTGGTGCACCATTTACATGAAATCGGACGAAACTATATATGGGAGCTATATCTAAGTCTGGACCGATTTTCTCGAAACATGGCAGACATCACTCTAGGCTCAATTCAGTACGTTATGCCAAATTTCGTGCAAATCGAAAGATATATAGGGACTTTGGTGCACCATTTACATGAAATTGGACGAAACTATATATGGGAGCTATATCTAAATCTGGATCGATTTTCTCAAAACTTGGCAGACATCACTGTAGGTTCAATTCAGTACGTTATGCTAAATTTGGTGCAAATCGAAAGATTGTGGGATCTCTGGCCCATAGTGCAGTGTGGCAAACATACTATACCCCCCAATCTGTGATCCCAACAACATATCCCGTTATGACAACGAATTTTAAGAAATCTCCTATTAACATACGAAATTCCAATTTAATCGTATTCCGTTACGATAATCTAACATCATCCGAATATTATACAGTTACAGTTATGATGTCACCATTATTATTTTTTGAGTTGGGCAATTAAAAATAATTGCATCGATTCCATTCCAGTAATCGGCAATGCTTATTGGCATTATTCATGTTATGCTGTTTTTTAATGAATGTTATGCTTTTTCCCAACGATAGTTTTCACATAACAACAGCGGCAGCTATTTTCCAATAAATGGCCAAAAAATGTATTTCATTAAAAAAAAAACGAATGAGACGAAAAGAAAAATCTCAAAAAACTTGTTAAAAAATATTTTTATGGTCAAA